CTGCTGAAAACTATCATCATAATGTATATGGTGTGCAGCATAGAGAGAAGTTGACTTGGGTGTGTTGTGCACCCAAAGCCAAGCACTTGTGTATAACTCGGGCTTCATAATATACTTAAAGATCTTACGCTTTCATCATTTAAAATGTTGCATAGCCTTTTCCCTTTTGGGTGTAGTGATCTGGAGAAAGAAAAAAGGGAAGGTCAACTTGTGGTACATTGAGTAGATTCTACCTGCTCTGCCCATCTTAACAGCAGATGGTGGAACCTGCAGAAGGATTAGGAAATAAAAACAGAGAGGACAGAAGGGGTTTGCTACATGGGCTCCTTGCTGTATATATGCACAACATGCAGTGCTTACACTTACAGTACTGAGGGAATTATGTCCCATTTTGAGCTTCCCCTCTTGCATTATCACGTACACAGCATTTTAGAACACATTGCGTGTTGTTTCTGGGATCAAGCTGGACTTGCAAGGAATGCAGCTGGGAAAGAAGAGGACATGTTTAAAGTTTTTCCTATCAGTGTTAACATTGCCCAGTTCACTGATTGAACTTATTTTGGCACTTTGTAAAACTCCTACATTTTGGTTTTTGTTTGTTTTTTTAAAGTGTCAGATGCATACTAAACATGAGTCAACAGGAAAAGCGGGATGATCTTGATAACAGAAGTGGCACACAAAAGCTTTCTGAAGGAATATGATTTTAGACATGGACACAGAAGATAAGATCTTCAATGCATGTGTCACAAACCCTGGGTTGCTGTGATGAATGAGTTGTCTGGAGTGGCACACAAAAGCTTTCTGAAGGAATATGATTTTAGACATGGACACAGAAGATAAGATCTTCAATGCGTCACAAACCCTGGGTTGCTGTGATGAATGGGTTGTCTGGATGCTTGGTTTGAAACTCTGATGTTTAACTTCCAGAAGTGGTAGTATTCACAGCTGCACCTGAAAACTCAGTGCATACTATATTTTGATAAAATATAGCAACAGTGCTAAATCATCTGAAAAATCCAATTCCAATTGTCTCCAGTTGGCCATTTTAAATTGCTAGATACTTTTTGGCCTAAATCTCTCCATGGCTCACTTGAATTTTCAGGACCTCTGTGGAAATGAATTCAGGTTTGTGAAGCATTTCCCTAGAAGGGAATTAAATAGCCCTGTGAGAACAGAATTTGAATTGTATTGGGTAAAGGAGAAATGAGGCTGTGCATGAGACTGTGGGAATAACAAAACATGGAATAATTCCCCAGTTAGGGGAGCACCATGCATTCTGCTTGTTGGGTAAGGCAGAGGTTCTGTAGAGATCTTGATCATATTGTTAAAATGTTCCTATTTTTAGGTATATATAATGTGCAAAAGTACACTGAATTAAACCATCATAAGTATTTCTTAATACCTGGGTACCTTGCAACATTAATGTTCGGTTAACAGAGGTTATATGTGGAATTTATCAGTTCTAGTTAAATTACTGTACAGAGAAGCGTTAGTTCAGTAGTGAACTTTGGAATCAGTGTTTTGAAGCCTGAGAAGAGATTGAACAGCCAAAGTGGCCATCTTTAGGATGTGGATTTTCCTAGCCATTTGGATAGCTGTATCTCTTGATTAGGCTTTCTTCCCTCAATATCTGAATGATTTGCAGGCACATTTTACCTCACCTTAGCAATGCAGTGTTGCCCTATTCATATCTATCTAGAATACTGTCACCAAGATAATTTTCTCTGCCTTTTGTTTTGGGCTGTCTCAACAGTTCAGGGCTACCTTCTGGATCATGTCAAATATAAACATAAACACCTTCAATTTCTCGACACCAGTCTACTCTTTTCACACCATGTCTTGCTTGATTTAGAGAATGCAGCACCCTTTTCCTCCAGTGGGTCCCTTGAGCCAGCCTCTCTCCTTTCATTTCAGTATTTCATGAGCACCTTCTTGCTTGTTTTCTTTATTGCATGAAAACTCTCTGCTGGTTCTCCATACCCCGCCTTCTGAAATACTCTTGTCTTGGAGGGTGTGCTGTGCCTCTCAATACGGCCAGTATTCTATAGCCTGCTCAGTTTTTCCAATTTGCCTAAATTTGTCTGGTTTTAGCAGAGTAGACTAAGGTGCTATGGGGCTATTATAAACTAAGAATGATTTACAGATAATGTCAACCTGCTGTGCTCAGGAAGAAAAGAAAGGAGAGTGAGAAATGTTGTGGTAGCTGTCTTAGAGCAGAGAGGAAGAGAAAAAGTAGGAAGCAGGAGAGTGTCAAGGTGAGATTCCAGCAGTGTGTTCCTCTGTCCCCACCTTTCTCTGGGTTATTCATTTGGAATGAAAGCTGTCACAGTGCATCTTAACAGGCAGTGTTAAAGAAGTGTTAGATGTAGTTCTTCAGAATTATCTTGGTGTTAAGTGTAATGTGTTGCTGAAAGCCATCAGTAAACCCTACAAACTGGTTAGACTGGCTTTAAAGCCTAGAATAACTCCAAGCAATTTGTGCAGATCGAAGTGGTGATGGCAGGATTATCAGGTTAATCAGCAAAGTCAGATTCCAGAGGAGTAAAATGGCCAGCTGAAGGGCAGCATATCTTAGTTTTACAGCAGTTGAAGACCTCGTGATGGGTCTCTGAGTTAGAGGTCACAAACATCACAAAGTGCAGCCTTAGAGGACATGCCCTGTTTTGCTGGACATCTATGTCTAGGTTTCTCTTCTACTTGCATGATTTCTTTTCTACTTGCAGATCTCAGAAAGTTCAGGGCTAATTACTTGCTTCTCTGATAGCTCTCATTTATATGTAGCCTTCCTTCCCAAAGGGCATCTAAAGCAGATTACAGATGATTGCATTGCCAGTGTAGCTTGCCCCAGAGGTACAAGAGGCAGCAAGCGGAGGCTCTGCACAACATGATGTGGGGGAGGTTTTGGCAGAAGTTATCCAAACAGGCATTTTGAAGTTGCATTTGCCAAGGGATTCTGGATTTCTAGGCAAAGATACCACTTTAAAGCTCTTATCTGAATGATCCTCACACAGCGAGGTAGAGGTAGTCTACAGACTCACTGAATATTTCATTGCAGTCAGCAGGGAGGGAGCTGCACTCTCGTGTTTGTCAGTAGAGAGGCTCAGGGAGGGTTGAAAGAGAGCAATGTCCTCTTTCCTGAGTTAATATTTAGACAATGCTACCTCTTTTTTTCATAAATACTTCTGTTTTTCTATTTCTACTTTCCCAGAAAGCTTTGGGAGTAAGCTCTTCAGAAACTTAAATGCAACGTTTGGCCCTTGCTGTACAGTTACTTCTCTCGGCAGAGCTGGGCTCACTGTTCTTGAGCTTCTGATTACAGGATACATATTTTTCATTTTTAATTCCTTGGTGTGTCTTTACTCAAATTACCTCCTTCCTTGCCAGTGGCAGAGGTTAGGTCTCACCACAAAGTGGAGATGTACATGCTTCTCCCTTCTTCCAGTCACACAGCTTCTGCCCAGTGCTGTATGCCATATGTGTTTGTGGTCTTAACAGCATGGAGGGTGTAAGCCTGCTCTTATTTTTGTTACCTCTTTGCTGCTGAGCTCTACTGACACCTCACCAGCTTGATAGGTTCAGATGTGTAAGGAAGGGTCTTGTGTCAGCCTTGCAGACTGCTGGTGGCACAGCCACAGCACCATGGCTCCTCCCACAGTGTTGATGCAGCATGTGGTTAATTCAAAGCTCGGTTGCTGTTTACTAGCTGTAAGGTGTACGTACTTGCTCTCTGCTTTAATGCCATATATGCAGTAAATACTCTGTATGAAGTCAGGATAAAGCTTTGAAAGAAAAAAAATCAAGACTTTCTTCTTTTATGTATATTTGGCCTCAGATTCCAGCTGCTTGATTTAATGAGCGTGCTCTCACGACTACTGATGAGTTGTAGCAGAGGACTGTGCTGTTGGGATGCAGTACAGCTGGTATAGGGTACTTTCCTGCAAGAGAAAAGAATTTATATGACTGAACTTTGACAGTAGGGATGTGAATAACTTTAAGGCAGAATTACAACTGCCAAAAATGCATTTGATTTTTTTTTATCTTCATTTTTTAAAGTGGGGGTGTTAATAGCCTTGTATGAGTGTTTTAAAGGTTGAGTCCTTCCAAGTTCCTCTGCTATCATATTTTAGACCTGAGATAGTAAATCCCTTTTCAGCAAGCCAAACACTGGCTGCTTCATGGATGGAAATGGGCAGCTACCAACTTACCATACCAACCACCTTCCAGTTCTTGACAGTGCAAGACAAACCTTTCAGCTTTGTTCAGTGAAGAGTTGCGTGACTTTCTCCTGAGTAGTGAGCTTGCAGTAAGGGGAGCTAAGGGACAATTCTGCCAACGCATGATGCACATTTCATTGCTATCAGTCAAAATATGCAACCCATGCTGTGACTTCCAGAGGCTCTGGAGAGGAAATCAGCATGATCACCACAGCATTGGTGCTCCTGTGAGATTATCAAAGCCTTAATCCTCTTTTATACTTACTAAATGAATCCTTGGGGGGAAAATGTTGAAGTTAGGAGTGAGAAAAATCCCTTGTTTTTAAAAGTGTAATATCACCACTTCAGCTATTTGATGATTGCAAGCAGTAGAAGGAGCAGAACACTGGCTAAATGCTATCTCTGCAAGGAGGAATAAAACTGAGTCAGCAGGCATTAGCATGTGCAGGACATAGCTCCCTGGCTGCTTTACCCAATGGCTTGTTTAGTCTTGTTCTCCTGTGTGTTAGCAGCTTTCAGCGATGTGCAGTGATTAGTGTCCTGTGTCTTTCCTCGTCGCTCCTCTGTGTATCCTGGGGCTAGGATTAGGTTACAGCCCTGAAATGGCATGGTTGTCTGCACTGACTGAGAGCTGAATAGTAAGGGCAGAGTTTTGTTGATAGACTGAAACGCTGAAATGCTTTCTGTGTTTGTTTCCCTTCTCTGGAGGAGGAATGACATTATTTTCATTTGTAGTCTTTCTGTCTCTGGCCTAAACATGTGGTGTCCAATTTCCTTCCCTGGCAGGTGACCTGGAAAATGAGGAATGGTGTCTGGCTACAGAGTTTACTCCAGCAGCAATAAAGACTGAGCCAGTGTTGTGTGAGACATCAGGCCTTGCTCCCTCAGTCAGTCTCACTGTCACAACCACATCACTGGAGGGGGAAGAACCTGACCTACAGACGGATGCCCTGGTACCTGCAGATTTTCTATTCTCCTCTCTGTGCAATTAGCTACAGGTTCTCCTAAGACTGCATACCAGTGTAGCCTCCTTGGTGCCAAAGCTTGTCAATTCAGGGTGCACACTGCAGCCTGCTTTAATGGTTTTTAATGTTTGCGGTAAGAACTTGTGCTTCGAAACACTTACATGGATCTTCAGCTCTTAATGGTTGAATGCACACTTTTTCTTCTGTGCGAGCCCCAAAGCTTGGAGCTCATGTGATTTTAGAAGTATTTAAACGTTTAAGTATTTAGAAGTATTTAAAGTTTCTAATAAACCAGTCCCACCTGAACTGACTAATCCATTTGCCCTATTAAGCTTGTGACAAGCTAAGTGTCTTCCATAATAATTTGCTTAAGTGCTGCAGTGCCTTCCCCTAATCAGAACAAGACTCCTTGTTTGAAACAATTGGAGACTTTCCCTTGTTTGCCTCCTAAGTCACTTCTGCCGGGTCTGTGAAGTTTTGACAATCCAAGCTGCTGCTGCTGCTTCCACACCAACCTGCCTCGTGAGGAGCATTTTTGATGCCTTTCTGACCACAGCTGGAGCAACCAGTGGGCATTCTTAAGGGCTTAGTCTGGCTCTGGTTGGGTTAAGGAGAATGAACTGGTGCAGCTGATAGCTCACCAGGGTCCCCTGTGAGTGGAGGAAGAAGCATGACTGTTCTCAGTCCCCAGGGTGTGATGTCAGCCCAGGCTGGGTGGAGTTAGTATATGCTGAAAATAAATGTTTCCACTTGGATGTGGATCAGAAATATGTGCAACAAATTATTTTATGAGAAACTGAAAAAATTAAACACGAGTTTCCCATAATTCTCTTCTAGTCTGAATGTGCTATCCACAGTACATAGTCCTGCTGTAGTCTGGAATGCCATGACCTCCAAAGGGTACGCTAGGACTAGCTGGTGGCTCATTACCATTGCATGGATTAGTTACACAGTTATTGGGAGAGATTTTGGCTGCATTGAGCTTGCTGATGTGCCAGACCGATTTCCTCAAGCCTGGGACTGTAGCACACAGGCAGACTCTGGGCAACAGCTTGGCAGCCTAGTGCCCCAGTCCCATCAACAGGGCAAGCATATGTCTCCTCCAAACTTAAGTCATCCTTGACTGTCTCTTTTCCTGCTCCTCTACATTGTGAAATGAATTTAGGTCTGATAATCTGGTGCCTCAGTATCTGGCACCTTGTTCTTGCTCCCAGATGACAACACTGCCAGGAGTGTTTCTGTCTCTGCTCGAACAGACTGTGCGGTCCGGTAAATCCTAGCGGCAGCTCTGTTGCTAAGAGAAGTAATTTGAGTGGGTTGCATGCTAGCTTTCAGTCTGAAATGTCATCTCTGAGGCGTAATCTTTTATTTAGCTAAATATAGGAGTAAGAAAAACCATAGTGGGAGTAGTCAGGGCAGTATTCTCTGTAGCCTGGTTTAGCAAATTGTGTGAAGCTGTTAAAGCTTTGCCTGTAGCAGAGCAGGAGGAGAGGGAACCTCTCCATTTATGGAGAAGTCATCCTTGAATCCTTCTATTAAGATTTTTTTAAATGAGTGCTTTGGGTTTTCATGCTGTTAATTTCTCTTTTCTAGATGAAACCACTGAGCCAGAAAGTTCTTCCAGAGATTAAGTTGGAGCCCCATGAAGTGGATCAGTTCTTGAATCTCTCTTCTAAGGAAGGTCTGTTAATTACCAACCTGAAATGCAGGGGGAGATGACCAGAATGCACTATAAATGTACTTTAGCCTGATTAAATATTTGGCTTCCTCATTTGCCATGTTAATCTTTAGGCTGAAGCTGTTGCCTTCTAGGGATTCAACTCGGGCTGCTGAAGAGCCAGCTTCTTGCTGACCCATTTACGTGTTTTTCTTGTGGAGGGGGCTTGAATCCTTAAAGTACAGGATTATTTAGGCTAGAAATCAATTTGAGGGGACTTAACTAAGGCTTAGAAAACATGAAGAGTGTAAGTGGAAATGTGCCGTGATGCAAATTCAAGGATGTGAGTTTATATGAAATTTAAAGTTAGGTGCATCTGTTTGTAGCATATTAGTTTTAGTAGAGTTTTTAAGAATGACTAGGATCCCTTTGCGCTTCATCTGTGAATGAGGAAGGAGGAACAATGATCCCTGCCCTGAAAGTTAAACACAGTTTTGTGGCACATAATCTGCTCACACAACAAAAGTTTGAAAGAGCTAAATATTTGGGCTGAAATTTGAGCAGATAACTGCTTCTCATACTTGATATTCTGGTGGTGAACTCATTTGTGTAGGTAAGTATAACTGCTGTAAGGAGAGAAACAAGTGATGTAGCAGGTGGAAAAAGGGAGGCTATATCTCAACCCAGGGAGCAGATTCAATTGCTCAGTTTGTGGGCTTAAGGGCCTTGCTGTTTTTCAAGTATATCTTCTGACAAGTACTAGAGTTCAGATGCTAGACAGAAAGAGCTCATGTGTAGTAGATTTTTTTTTGTTACTATTTTTCTTCATTCTTCCCCCACCGCCCATTTGATCTTTTCAACTCAAATTTGCAAAGTATAACAGAAGTGGAAGGTGGGAAATTCATCCCTGTATCTTCCTACTCCCAATTCTCATTGCTGTAAATCTATCTCAGAGAAGAAAATTGCTTAGTTATGGCTGTTTTGGACATCTGCTAAATTATCCATGTAATATGAGTGGGTGAGACATTGCCCCATTTCTCTTGGTCCAGACCCATTTAGTCATAACCAGCACTTTGCTTGCCAATTCTAGCACAGGTTCTTTTGGCTGCAAGTGCAGTAGAAGTTAGCTTATGTCCCGGGACAGCACAGTGTGAGAGAGATTCCTGTGCTGGTTGTCTATGCTGCTCCTGCTCCATCAGTGCACTCTCTGTCACAAGGTTGTCACTTCCTCCCAGTTGTGCCAAACCAGGTCCTTATGCGGCAGATTAGTTCTCTCCTCCCCATTTATAGAACACCTTGTATGAGATACCTCCTATTGAAAAATGCCAGTAATTTGTTTAATCCACAGCAAAGTTAGGGTAGCCTACTGGTTTTGGAGAGAAAGTATGCTGGCTCAGAACCCCTCTGTTAATGTGGCTTCCCAGGGACAGGGGACTTGTATTGCAGGGTTATGCTTAAACCTCAAAGCATTTGGAGAAGAAGCTGTAGTGTAGGTAGAAATGTCTGGAGCATATGCGCAGAGCCCTGTTTTGTCTGTTGAGCCTAAAGATAGCTGCTGCATTTCATTCCTTCTTCGGAGACCTACATGCTCTGAAAATCTTCCAAGATGCCACTTTTGCTTGATCCATTTTTTAGCAGACAATCCTAGACTTGGAAACTGTATGGTGGCTGTGGCTCTAGTGGAAGTTTAAATTAGCACCTCAAAACCTTGTGTTACATGTCTTTCTTGCCATTTAGCAGTGGATCCCCTGCATTTGCCTCCAACTCCTCCCAGCAGCCATGGCAGTGACTCTGAAGGAGGACAGAGCCCAGCTAGATCACTCCCTCCTTCAAGCCCAATCCAGCTGCCAGCCACGGCTAAAGTGACATCACGCACAGCTTCAGCGCTCTCCAATTCCCCTCTCCTGACTGCACCACATGTAAGTTGGACTGGCTTTTTCCAGTATCTCTCTCTCTTCAAGTACTGGGTTTGCCACGGATTTGCTAATTTTCTGTTGTACTTTGGATGAGTTGATCGCTGGTCAAAACTGCACAGCCAGTAATTCTTGCTCACTGGTCTGTTTTGTTCCCGCAGAGACCAGCATGTGCTTCTTTCTAAGTTGAGATATGGTTCAAGAATGTTATTAGGTTTGTCCCACCATGGATTGTGTTTTGCATTAGGGCCCAGCCCTTCTGGGTTAACCTGTCTCTGATAGATGTGAATCTGTCCTCTTGTTTTGTCGAAAGCAAGTGGTGATTTTCAGAGAGGGATTTTCTCACTTGTATCTTTCCCTGTTTGAGCCAGCAGAAGTTTTGTTTTTGGCCTCAGTGTGTGCAGAGCTGGGCTGAGAATAACTGTTTTGAGGGAATCCTGTCCCAAAGGTTCAGTCTCTGAATGGAATCTACCTGAAAGGTCTTCCAGTTCCACGCATTCCCAATTGCAAGAGGCTGCTGTTTTAGTAGGCAGTCTTCTGAATTAGGAAGAGCTGCTGCCTCTCTTTCCTTATACCCTTTTCTCTAGGGCTCTGTGCACTTACTGTTACATCATTTAATTTCTGTAACACTTGCAGAAATTACAGGGGACTGGTCCACTCATCCTGACAGAGGAGGAGAAGAGGACACTGATAGCAGAGGGGTACCCAATCCCTACCAAACTGCCCCTGACAAAAGCAGAGGAGAAAGTGCTGAAGAAAATCCGCCGGAAAATAAAGAACAAGGTAACTGTTAGTTAGCTTTGCCGGGTCATTCCAACTTACTCTTCATTTAAAAAAATACTGCAAGAATTCTGCAGCAATGATCTGTGGTATTGCTGAATGCTGTAAGATGCCTTTTAGTAAAGTGTTTTTCTTTGTTCCTAAACACATGCATCAAATTGTCTGTCCCTGACTCTGTGCCTCTGTCTAGGTATTTACCTGAGCACATAGACAATAGAGTATTTAGCAAGCAGGGTATCAAGTTGCTGTTGCTTGGCTCCATTTTAAAAACAGGACAATCCTACACTTATGGTAGGCAAAGACCTCTGTATTTTTTCCATGGTGATGAAGGTGTTCTTTTCCAGTTTCATCTTTTAAAATCTGACTGTGTATTTCAGTGCCCTAATCTTTTGATCATTGAATTTCATGACCTTTAAATAAATGGTTGATACTAAGGCTGTGAAATGCCCTATACAAGTCTGTTCTTTCTTCCAACTTGGGGAAAAGCCTATTGATAGGGAGGAAAGCATTTTATTTCAAACCTGGCCAGCTCACTTGTTGAAATTATCACATATTTGAAAGTTAATGCATTTTGTTATTGGTTTTGCAGATAGAGATGTAAATTTACCCACACTGATTTGGAATTAGATCTTGTAATATGTTTTTGAAAATTTTTGGAAGTGACCTTGTGCGTTTTATATACCACTTTCATATAATCAGAGCCATTTATATTGGAGGGTATCTCTGGAGGTCCTTTGGTCCAACTCCTTGCTTTGGAAACAGGTTCAGCTTAGTGCAAGTTGCTAAGGGACCTGTCCAGTCTCATTTTACTGTCCCAAAGGTTGATGAGTCCCTAGCCAGCATCTCTGGGCAACCTGTTTCCATATTAGACCAGTCCTGTGGTAAAATCAAATAATATCTTACTGGAATTTTCCTTGTTCCAACTTGTATTTGGTGCTTCTTGCCATGTTGCTGTACACCTCTGAGAAGAGTCTAAATCATCTTTACTGCGCAAGACAGTTGAAGACAGCAATAGATTTCCATTCTTAGTCTTCTATTCTTAAATCTGAACAAACCCAGCTTTCTCTGCTTTCCTGATATGTCATGTGCTCCAGCATGCTTATTATAGCAGTGGTCCTCCTCTGAGCTTGTTTTCATACATCCAAAGTATTTATTTCAGAGCCACAAAACTGTACGCTGTACAGTGCAACACTGTGGTCTTGCAGGCACAAAACAGGGGGGAAGAACCACTTCTCTTGACCTTCTAGCTACAATCTTGTTAATCTAGACCCAGATATGGTTGGCTGCCTTTGCTACAGAGCCACATTGCTGACTTATATTTGAATTGTGCGTCAGGAGCCCCAGGTATTTTTCTACAGAGCTGCTTTCTAATGCATGTATGGGCTCTTGCTCTCTTAAGATGCAGCGCATTGTCCTGGGATCATCTTTTAGTATTTGTCCTAGGATATTCTCTCCAGATGAATCTGATTTACTTTTAAAGTTTGGTTCTGTGAGAGCAGGGAATTATCTTTTTCCTACTACTGAGAGGAGCTTCAGGATGTGGGAACAGACCAAGTCAGTGCTTTGGTTGCCAGGAATAGAAATGAGAACAGCACAGAGGCTTGAATCTAATAACGTCAGGGCTTTTTACCAGTTTATTAATTCATTTATGATGCTTTTTTTTTTTCCTACACAAATATTTGGTGTTTTTCTTCCTTTCTCCTTAGATCTCTGCCCAGGAAAGTAGAAGAAAAAAGAAAGAATACATGGACAGTCTGGAAAAAAAGTAAGCCAGCCTCCTTCCTGTTTCAAGCAGGCCAATAGCACTAGTTGCTGGACTGGGAAGGGATCCAGCTGTTGATGCTGGGACTGTTTCTTGCTCAGAGTGCCAGCTGCCATCTCGTGGTTATGACTGAGAAAAGGTCCTTCTGTTTTCTTCTTGTACGTGTGCTGGGGTGCTGCACTCATAACTGTGTCTACCTGCAACACATTGCTATCATGCTGAGAAAGACTTCAAACATTATATGAGCAAGACTCATCTGCTATCAGCCTCCACCTCATGCAACTCTGTTGGCCTAGTGGGTGGGCAGTGTCCAGGGAAAAGTGAATATATTCTGTCTTCTAGTGCAGATGAAGACAAAAATAGGAAATGGGTGAGTCAAGTCTGCCTGGGAAAATAAGCAGGATTTAGGAAAACAGCATATGACCCATCGACTTCCCCTAGTGAGAAAAAGCCAAACCCCCAGTTAGTGATTTATATCCCAAATTAATACTTTTTCCAAAAGACAAGTACTCTAGTATTTCTCTTCGCAGATGGATCAGTTAACCCCCTTGTACCATCTTTGGCGATATCCTTGATGTAATTTCCTTTTTTTCTTCTTATCTCTTTATAGCTGAATCTTGCTTTCTCAGAGTTACTCTTAAGAAATTCTACCCAATGCGTACAGATATCAAAGCTTTTTCCCTTTACCTTCTTCCTTATCGAAGCTATTTCAGATGGTCATGTTTGTCTTTTTAGGAGTCCCAGATTTTAACTTGGACCTCTTATTTGGCATATTATATGATAATCTTTAGGGGGTTTCCAGGGGCAGTGTGGAAATGATCTCTCTATTGGGAATTAATCTCCTGGCTTGTTAGCCTCCATACACTTGAAATTTGAGGATCTGATTTCAGAAGCACGGTTTTCACCAAATTGCTTGGTGCCTTGTCTTAGTAATGAAATGCAAAGGAACGCCTTTGGACAAGATACTTGCTAACAACATCAATATAGCATGTTCTGTGACTTTTAAAGTATCTGTCCATGGCCCAATGAACAGAGAAAGCCAGAGCAGGGTCTTTGCTATTTTTATTTCAAGGGGCAAAATGTAGTTACAGTCCATCCTGAATGAGCTGCACTTACTAGGAGGTAGTTCAGCAGCATAAACAGGTGCTCCACAGCTAATAGTATCTCTTGCAATGTCTTTTACGCTATGAATTATGGTTGAAGCTTATGATTAAGTTTGGTAGTGTCACTTTTCATTAAATGTAGGCAAGATCATAGAGTTCCCTGTGAAGGCAAGTTTGGTTTGCTTTAGAATCTCTTCCATAAATGACTGATTTTTTTATGTTCCTCTTTCTTTCTTGTGCTGTCTCCAGAGTTGAGACCTGTTCAAATGAAAATAGTGAGCTGCGTAAGAAGGTTGAAGTCCTGGAGAATACTAACAGGTAAGGTATGAAGGGTGTAAAACGAAACTTGAGCATAATATTATAGTGAAAAGTGAAAATGTGGAAATTAAGAGATCAACTGAAATGTGAACAGTAGTGGTATCTAATGTGGTTAATGTCAAAGAAAGATGAGGAAGGCCAATTACTGTGATGGAGGCTTTGATGTCACAACTTAAACTGTTTCCCTAGCCTATGTTGTGCTTGAGAAACCTTTAGGAGTTCTTCAACTGCCCAAGGAAACATAATTAGTGATACACAGGAAACAAAAAACAAGAGCCCAACTCTCCAAGTTGTCTTTATTTAGTGCTTTTACAGCAGAGCTTGACCTGGAACATAGCACTTCCAGTAACTACAGTGCTGAAGTCAGGAGTTGTTATTAATTCTTTCTGGACTACTAAATGTCATTGCAATTATTGTGCACCCTTCTAACCAACTCACACGCCAGAATTTCTTTAAGTAGGAGGAGGAGAATGAACTTCTTGTTTCTTCATTTCTGAAGAAACGGGTAACTCGGTGGCTTTCTCAAAGGACACATGGCAGAAAATTTTCAATAGCTGAGCTTTCAATCAGAAGGTAGATGAGAGTCAGTCTTGGCTTACGCTTGGTGTATTCTCTAATGATGGCAAATTCCAATGAGTTGGTACTAGATAAGCCTACTGTTAGCACCTTCTAGTTACAGGCATTTGTAGTGATGGTTGAACATTACCATTGAACATGATGGTAGCACTGAAGTGTGGGAGGAGGCTGGGTTTTGAAGATATGATCCATGATCATGGAAAATGGCCCTAGAGCTTGTCTTGCAGCCAATGTATTGCTAATTGAGTGGCATGTGTTGTTTCTAATCTCCAGATCCAATCTCTAATTTCATGGAGCCAGACCCTGTAGCACTGAAATTTGCTGGAGAGTGTCTCCCACACACTGCTCATGCATAAAGACATCTGCTGCTTGTTTGAAGAGAGCCAAGCCATTTCTGTGCTGCCTGTATCTTCCTCCAGGGTTTTACATAAAAGAACCAGGAGTTGTTCTGTAGGTGTTTTCTCTCCTGGGATCTGTCCCAGGAGGTGCTGAAGCCTAGAGTTGTTCTTGCCAGTTCAGCTGAATTTGGCCAGCTGTTTTAATCTTGGAGTTGTGGATGTGGTTGTGAGAACAGCTTTGTTGGTATTGTCCATTCTTTTGGACAGGACCTTTAGCATCTTCTCTATTATTTCATGATCTTAATTCTCTCAAGTGAAATAGTCTAAAAATATTTAGCTAAGTGATGCTATCTCCAAATCCTTCATACTTTGGGCATGTGGGATGGTTTGCATTGTTTTCTTGCCTTTGCAATAGCATTGCAAATTACAAATCAGGAGATTACTGATTTGTAATCTACAGAGAAGCAGATATTCTGACCCTCTGCACAGAAATTCTTACAATTCATGGCAACGTTATTTTGGCTATTTAGATACTAACTGTCTCTAAAATATCTTAAGGCTTCAAATTGAAGTACTGAGAAATTTGTGAAAGAGCCTGCTTTCACCAAGCCTGCATTATGTAACATACCACATTATGTTTTTTTTCAGCTTAACCCCAAAGAACCACTTCTCTTATTCATAGAATCATAGGATCATAGAATAGTTAG